CCTCACCCCCCCAGCTGCCCAGAGCAGTGCACAGCCAAGGGAAGAGGAGGGTGGGCAGGCATCAGTGGGGGACCCCGACTGGGCTCTGGATGCAGAAGAGGGGCAAGAAGCCTGATGGCTAAATGGTGGCACTGCACTTCTCTTGGCACAATCTCATCCCAGAGTGGAAGGGCCTCTTTTCGCATCTGTATGCATGTGTGAATCTGTGCTGCCGCCTCACCCCACCCCACCCCACCCCACCCCATTTTTTGCTACTGCATTTTATGGGCTGGAATTAATCTGGCCCCCACAATGCTGTGAGGCAGATGGCAGATTGCATGCCACAGAAAATTTACTTTGTTTTGATTGCTGCTATGCACGTTTTGTATTCAGCCAGGCCTGATTGTGCTGGGAGTGCAATCGCCAGTCCATCAATTCCACACTGCTACACGTGCTGCTTCGGTGAGAGAGAAAGGCATGGCAGAGATGTGATTATGACCAGCATTAGCTGTTTTTGTAAAGCTACCAGCAAGGAGAATTAATTTGGAATAATCTGTCACCAGGTGAGTCTTGGCAGAAGGAAGGACAGTTTTTTAAATCATCCTTTCAAAGAAACTCAAAGATTATTTGAGTGAGATGGTATCTCTTCCCACAGATGGGAATATCTGCACGGGGCTACTTCAAAGAGCAGCAACTCGCACTCTGATGCTCCAGCATGATATTTAACATCTACATGAGGCTTCCGGGCAAGGTTCCATTTCCATCAATGTAATCCAAATTGTGTCTTTGACTAATCTGTTAACCTGCAAATGGAATAAGGGAAATAAATGTCTTCACTAACCGACGGGAAGAGGATGGACATGAGACTGCAGTCATGACCTGCAATGCTTGTGGCCTTCTATGTCCCTGACTGAGAACAATCAGGCATGCATTTTCAGAGAAGTCCTGATGGACTGGAGAAGCAAGCCCAGCAAATAAAAGTGACAGACTCAAGGGCCATAGACAACAGTCTTGTAATGTGATCTGGGATAAGTCTGAACCCATGACTTCTGAGGAAGTAGACAGGGTTCTCTGCACTGTAAGTTCAGCCACTTGTTTGTTGGACCCAGGTCCTCCTGGGTTGGGAAGACAGCCAGGGAGGTGAATTGTGGTTGCATCCATGCTGTGATGTCAGCCTCTTTGAGGGAGGAAGTGGTGCTTCTTGAAAGAGGCAATGCTATACTCCCTTCTGAAGAGGTGGCCCTTGGACCCAATGATCTTGGATAACTATCATTGTTGAGAAGGTAGTCGGAAAGCAGCTGCTGAGAACCTTGGAGGAAGTGGATTATTTCAACCCATTTCAGTCAGGTTTCAGGCCAGGGTTCAGTACAACCTTGGTTGCACTTGTCAATGACCTGTGACAGAGCCAGGATAGAGGTGGTGCATCCATGTTTGTGCTCCTTTATCCCTCAGCAGGTTTCAATACCACGGACCATGGTATCCTTCTGGACCAGCATTGGGGGTTGGGAATTGAGGGCACCATTTTATGCTGGTTCTCTTCCTTCTTTTGGGGCTGGTTCCAGTGTTGGCTGGGGGCAGCGGTCATTCCCTAGACCCCTCCTTTGTGGGGTGCCACAGGACTCAATTGTTATGGCCCTGCTGCACTTGTCTTCTGATGAGGAGGAAGTAGAGCCAGGGGATTCTAGGGATAATAGTCCTGGAGGGGGTGATTCCAGCAATGTTGAAACCAGTAAATCCACTCTGGCTGAGGCAGCTCCACCAAGCCCCCAGGACTCCCTCCCTGACAGCTTCTCAGACTCTGAGGTCTCCCCGCACCAAGTCCCAGCAGAAGGTCCTTTAAAGATACAACAGCAGAGGGCTGAGCTCCGCAGGTCAGCTAGACCGGCCAAGAAGCAGGCTGGCAGGAGAGGAGACTCCCATGAGTAAGATACCTCAGCTGTGCTTCCAAGTGGTGGCTCAGTGTGCTTTGAACTCTGGGTTCCACCTCACTGTGTCTCATCTTCTCCCTTGGATTTGGCATTTGTTCACTGGCTTCTTGGTCTTGACCTGTGTCAAGCCATGACTACATCACAGTCGCTGTCTTTAGCTTTAGGGGGAAAGGACTTTTGTCCTGTCCCAGTGTTATAGAACACCTACATCCAGGGAGATTGGGATTGCACCTTCCTTTGATGCACAATCTGGGGGTCTTCTGGGACTTTGTGGCCAAGAAATCCTTTGCACAGCTTCATCTGGTGCACCAGTTGCATGTTTCCTGCATCCGGAGGCCCTTCAGACAGTCACTCATGCCCTGGTCACCTCACGGCTCAACTCAAACCACTCAGAAGCTCCAGCTGGTTCAGAACTTAGAAGTAGGGGCAACGATGGGCATGCCTTGATATGCTCATGTGACCCCCTGCTCCATGAGCTGTATCCCCTTACATATGTAGACACAGACAACCACCACATGCTAGGTATGGTTGTTCAGCCACCTGTCAATCCCTTCGGCAATGGGACCATCCATCCCACACAGTTCCATTTTATGGAGGAGGAGGCTGCAGTCAACTTCATCAAATGCCTCACTGAAGCCCACAGTATTTTTATTTGCTCGTGTTGTCTCGATTCATGCCAGAATGCTTTTAAGACTGGTTTACGTTCTTTCTTTTTTGTACACAACTCTAGAGAAAGAGAGCCATGAATGAAATAAATAATGTCCTTTCCCTCTGAAATAAACATGGTCTGGATAACCCTTCAAAAAGATGATTTCAACAGGAGGAATGTGTTTTAACAACCATTCAGATAAAGGCCATTGTTTGTAAAGCCTGGCACATGGTTTTCCAGATTAATATGGGGGGGGGGGTTCACGTCTCTTCCTTGCATCACATTCTGGCCTAGAAGCTACTCGCAAACTGAAAGCATTTTCTCGACCTTCCGTTTCACAGGACGTGCATGATTACTCAGCTCAGGCTAAGCTAGCAGATGGATTCGCACAGCGTGCAAACCTTGTTAATGTTAACTTTGCACTCTTGCTTTGTTTCGCCTGCTGAGCACGCCCAGGAAACAGTAAGAAGGCTGAGCCTGTGGCTGAGAACGGAGCCCCGGGCCGGGAGTCAAAGCCTGGCAGGGCAGCTAGTCTCGAACCTCCAGAGGGACTGAAGCCCCAGCCAGGGAATCAGAGTCACCATCCGCAAACCATGGCTCTCCCGCCCTTTCAGGTCCACCTTTCTGCCTCTCCCCTGGAAAATTCCAGGGCTTCTTCCAGTTTCTCAGGGCAGGATGCAATTGGGATGAATGTTTTCTTTGGCTCACACTGAGTGAGGATGAAAAGAACCCCGGGGAGAGGGCACTGGGCCTGTCAGGCATTTAAAGTAACCAGTGGATTCAGTGATCATTTGTTTGCCTTACTCTGAGCCTGCCTGCTGTGGTGCAGAAGAAAACCTCTGGAGAAAGATGGGAGCGACTTCCGGTCTGTCGACGAGCCAGCAACGTTTGCGATTAATCTGAGCTGACTAGAAAAAAACACTCTACATCACCGCTTCCATCACGCTGGGCACAGGCTGGCTACAAACTCAGATATCCACTGGGAGCCAGGGAGCAGGAGCTGGCACAGCCCCGACTGGCAGGCCCTTTTCTTCTCTCCTCCTGCACAACTGCCTTGACCCGCTTCCTTGCCAAAGAAGTCCAAGATGTTTCAGGGGAGGAGCAGCAGCCTCCCCGCTGGGTCTGTGACTCTACCCTCAGCTGAGTTCCTGGAGCCCAGATCCCACCCAAAGGGCCGTATCCCACATCTGCTCAAGAGTTCTGGACGACAACCTGAAGATCTGTCCACCGTTCTACATCTCCAGCATCTGCGGCTTTTTTGAAAAAAAAAAAAAAAAAGGAAGATAATTCCTTGTTTATAGACTTCTGAACTCGGTAACCATTAAGGATTATTCCCGCTGCCTCTTATTTCAGACCAAAAGGAAGGATCGCCTCCAGGAGGCCTTTGGAGGGGCCTACAATGTGAAGGAAATGAAAAAGGGCCATGAGTATTTAACAGCTTCTGACACCCAGTATACTAAATTAATATAAATCACTTACATACATTAATTTAATCATTTCAGAACAAGGTATCAGATTATGCATAAACATTTGTCTGCTCTAATTACTATGAAATAGATGCCAAAGGAAACATCTTATGTCATTTTTGTTTTAATTAGCCTTCTCAAAATAGATAAATTACATATTCTTGAACCCAGGCTTTGGGTAACAGTATTTTTCAAATCTCTCAATATAATTCTCTTGGTTATTCTCCATACCTGATAACCACTATTCTTCAAAAACTGTCAGATTCCACAATTTTGGAATATAATTCCAAATAACAATCTTTAACTTTTGATGGATTAATTTCAAAATCAAGTCCAAAGAAACAAACTTAACATTTTTAAAAATGTGTGTCCATTGATGTACCATTACTGGAAAAAAAATTATTTTAACTCTTTTACCGTTCTTTTAGCATTTTTATTATTTTATTATTGTTGTTCTTGTTTTTTATAGCTTTTTATGACTTTACAGGTAGTCCTCTGCTTATGTCCATTCGTTCAGCAACTGTTCAAAGTTATGGCAGCACTGAAGAAATGGACTTACAACCAGTCCTCAAAGTTCCGGCTGTCACAGCCTCCCTGAGGTCACATGATTGCGATCTGGGTGCTCAGGTGCCTGGCTCACGATTATGATGTTGCAAGTGAGTTGCACCATGTGATCGCCATTTGCGACCTTCCCTGCCGGCTTCCCACAAGCAAAGTCAATGAAGAAGCCAGCAGGGAAGGTCGCAAGTTGCTCCAGTAAGTCGTTCCCACCATTTTTCTCCGCAGGAGCCCACTCCTCAGGAGCCCGCTACAATCCCACAGCACCCCCTGCCCCCCCACACTCCATAGCACATGTCTGCCCACAGCATCCCCCCACCCCCCAACCCTCCTCTTTTTCTGGGCAGCCCCCAGTGGGCCTCCCGG